GTGCCACCTCAGAGAAGAATCTTTCTAGGTGTTGGAACAGTGACAGAGCCAGGCTTAGAGTCAGAGTACCTACAAGTTGAGGTCCTCATGAGACCTACTAAATCGACCACAGGTGGATTGATCTCAGTGTGTCGATCCCCACTGGTTATAGATGGAGCTTAAGTCTGAGTTTTACTTTACGAGGAATATACTGCAAAGATTTACTCAGCTATACAGATTGGAAAACTGAACAAAAAGCAATTGAACCAACTGATAACATACAATATCACTGTGTTGTCAGAGATTAATAACATTGTGAAACATATGTATTAACAGAATGAGAAAATATAGATACTAAATATTATGCTAAGCTTGTGACCAAACAGGAGGAACAGGTTTCCTCCCAGACAGGAGTAAAGGCAGCTATATACACCTGTCTCCAATTAAATCAGACAAGTTGCAACCAAAACCAGTGGAAGCCCTATTTACATAGTAATCAGCAAGAGGATGAGGAGTCCAAAGAAAAGGAAGATCAGTACATAGTCATCCTGTGTCTTGAAACAAAGTCATTGAACTTTGCAAAACAGAAGAAAGACAGAAGCCATTTTTGGGATTCATTAATATGCAGACACAAGAGAATAGAGCTTTTGCAAGCTGAGAAAGATGTGTCCTTCAAGCAAGGGGAAGGGAGTTTGAAGTCTCTGGGAAATTAATATGAGAAAATACATCTTGAACAAAGCCTGTACCTTGCTAGATTATATTTTCTATTTTAAAATATGTGTTTTCACTTTTATTTAGTTGTAACTAACTATTTCTTTCATGTGGCACCTCTTAGCCAAAATTCTATCGTTAACAATTTGGTTTATTTTTACTATGAACCAACACAATACTGTGTTTAAACAGGGTATGTGTAAACTATGGAGGTTTTTTTTCCAAAAGAGGATCTGCAAATTCCATGGGAATTTACATATCTTCCGATTGCTTTTTCGAAAGCGGGTCTTTCAAAAGTGAAAGTCTGGATGCTTTTTTTCGCGGAAAAAAAAACCTTTTTTGAAAAAAAACCCTGCTTTTCCTAAAAAATGAAAAACCTTACATGGTTTTTCAAAAAAAGGGTTTTTCCTGCTTTTCCTAAAAAAGGAGGTTTACATGGTTTTTCAAAAAAAGGGTTTTTTTTCCAAAAAATACCGTGTCCAGACAACTTTCACTTTCGAAAGACCATGTGAGATCAGAAGAAGATATGCAAATTCCCACGGAATTTGCATATCCTCTTTTGGAAAAAAAAACCCGACAACCCGTAGTTTAGACATACCCTAAGGTGCAATTACACAAATTAAGAAGATGTAATGTGCCTGTGTATCTTTAGAAGAACAAATTCTGGACATTGCAAGCATACAGGTATAGAAAATAGGACTGGAAGTACATTGGGGTCACCTTGCTGGTTTTAACCAAGACTTAGGAAGTCCGAGTAGGGCTCTGGGGCTGTAGATGTTAAATTCAGTGGTATACTTGTAGACTGATTGTGAATATCCCAGGGTGGGAGCTATAGCAACAAAGCTTTGGAAGGCACCTAGGATTGCATAACAAATGGTGTCGCATACCCTCAAATGGTGAGGCCTGTACCTCCAAGGATCAGGACTATCTGCCACAGATTCACTGTATGATCTGGTATAAATCCCTTAATCTTAATCTGTCTCTCAACTTCCCCATTTATAAATAAAAATGACAAATTTGTCCTTATTTATAAAGCATTTTGAGACCTATGAATGAAAGCACTGCAAGACCTATGGATTATATAATTACTGTTACTATTATTCCACCTTTATATTCTGAATATACAAACTCTGAGAATGGGTAGATCAGATTGATTGGAAAAATTACTGTTCAATGTGATGAAAAGTTTTTAAATCCAGCATAAAAAGTTGACAGAACACATATATCTTGCTATATAATGTGGACTAGTAACAGAGGTCCAAGATGATGATTTACTACCTGTTTTTCTACACTACTGACTACCATCCCTCAATGTGCTGTGTCACTCGGTAACTGTCTTAAATTTTTCCTCTTAATGTAATATTTCAAATTATACACTATGGGCATATTCTTACATGAATACATTAATCAGAGTAACAACTTTGATAATTACAAAATTACTGAAAACATACTTTTGGGGGAAGAAGGTCTGACATCTGCAAATGAATTTCAGAGAGAGAATGTATCATAGAATAGTGCCGGGCACATCTGTTAGTCTCTAGGGCTATGTCTAGACTGCAAGCCTCTTTCAAAAGAGGCTTTTTCAAAAGTATCTTTCGAAAGCCTCTTTCGAAAAAGAGCGTTTAGACTGCAAGCAGTACTTTCGAAAAAGCAAGCCGCTTTTTCGAAAGAAAGCAGCAAGTGAGTCTGGATGCTCTCTTTCTAAAAAGCCCTGTTGGCATTCAAGAACACCTTTTCTCGAAAGAGCACTTTCGAAAAAAGGCGTTCTTCCTCGTGAAATGAGGTTTACCGCCGTCGAAAGAAAAGCCGCGTTCTTTCGATTTAATTTCGAAAGAACGCAGCTGCAATCTAGACGCAGGTGAAGTTTTTTCGAAAAAAGGCTACTTTTTTCAAAAAAAAACCCTGAGTCTGGACACAGCCTAAGGGTATGTCTAGACTATAGGCTTTTGTCAACAGAGGCTTTGTCGACAGATACTGTTGACAAAGCTTCTGTCGACAAAGAACATCAAGACTACATCCAGCAAGTCGCTTTGTCAACATGAGAGTATAGACACAAAGGACAGTGTAGATGCAATAATGCCTTCTGTCGACAGAACTCTGTTGACAAAAGGCGTTATTCCTCATAGAATGAGGTTTACCGCCGTCGACAAAACTGCCAAGTTCTGTTGATGTTATGTCGACAGAACTCAGCGGTAGTGTAGACGCAGGTATAGTTTTGTCAACAAAAGCCCACTTTTGTCGACAAAACCCTGTAGTCTAGACACACCCTAAGGGTGCATCTACACTGCGCCCAGAGCGCAAAATAAGCTACACAATTTGAGCTATGCAAATTGGTATCTTATTTTGAGATAATTTCAAAACAGTTTATTTTGAAATTTGGCACGGTCTATACAGCACTTCAAAATAAATCACCATTCTAAAATGTCCCTTGATTTTCGTGGAATGAGGTTTACAGGGATGTTGGAATAATGAGCCTGTTATATTTCAAATTATATTTGGCTAACTCAGAAGATATGGAATAGCTATTTCAGGATACCTCCAGTATCCCGAAATAGCACTGCAGTGTAGACGTAGCCTAAGGTGGCACAGGACTCCTCATTGTTAGAGCACGTCTTGACACACAAACATTGGCATTGTCCAAAAAATACTGATTTACTAATAAACACATAAAGTAAATGCAAAGGAAATATTTAAGTTTTTCAAGATTCAGTCCAGAATCTTTTCTGTATATTCCCTATATTTGCAATAATTTGAATACTTATCTTACAGTAATTTGCTTCTCTCCATGCAATAAAGTCTAAAAACTTCTACATGTATAACTCCTGACATGTCTTTGGTTTAGTTCATTAAATCAGCTCATAAAACAGCACAACCATAATTAATGTAACAACAAACCAAAATGAAAAATAGGATAAAAACACCATCTCATTTAACAAAAATCAAAGACTAGTTGATGTGTAAAATGGAAAAACAGTCTTAAATCTTAAAACTGAACAAAAGTCATTGCATAAATTGGTCTTAGCAATATCACAAAATGTGATGGATGAGAGAAAGTGGTTTTAAATAAGCATACTATTTTAATTTGAAGTAGAAATCCTCATGACAATGATTATAAAATTTTATCATTACATCAAATAATATATAGTACAAATAAAGTTATACTTTAAAATGTGAATTTTTTAATGCTGGTTACTTCAGCCCAAATAGCAATGAACTATAGTGCTTTACAAAGAACATTACACTCTCCATAGGTTTCCATCATAAAAATTATTTGTTGTTCTGAAAAAAAAAATCTTTCCAATTAGATCAGTATCATTTTCACCAATATGCCATTGTTCACCTGACTGACAAGAAGTAATTGTAGGTATGAATTCTCTACCATTAAAATGTATCATAGCAGCAAACAGAATAGTATGTTAATTACCCTACCAGACACTTACCATTGTATTTCGCTAACTTTAAGACATCCAGATTAATTTTCTGCTTTTAGATCCGCACGTGTTAATGAAAATGTAGCTTGACATCAAATAATTTGAATGACAGATTTATACAAAGGTAGTATAAAACTGCCCCTCTCCCAGTATATGGAGGTTTATGTATGCAAAGTCTTTTACAACCTGCCAACTACTTTTTAAAACCTTGTGGCATGACAGTTATTTCAGTCTGAGTAATATTTTCTCCATGAGGAATCAAAAGACTAAAACCAATTAGTGGATGAAAGAACTGTACACTTTTTTCAACAGAACACTAGGATCAGCATAATGTACATTTGCTGCATTTTACAAGAAGCTTCCGTTTAAACAGTAAAGCTACACAATTTAAACAGTAAAGCTACACAGTAAAGCTACATAGTAAAGCTTCTTTTGATTAAAATATACCCTAATTTTTCTTAGATAATTTTTTTTAAACCACATTTTTGTAAATAAGAAGAAACACTGCATAGTACAAAACTCAGCTTACTTTTAACCCAACTGATCTTAACATTTAGCCCTTCCATATGAAGTATAACTACTATTCACATGAATCATTGTTTAAGCCTCAGAAACACAGTTTGTATAAATACAGATTGCAGGGTATTAAAAAGTTTATTAACTTATTATAAAACAAAATAATCTCTAATCTGTTGATAAATAAAATTTAAAAGTATATTAAAATGTAATAATAAATGCATCTGCTACAAATAAAGGTATAAAAATGTCCTTATGTGACAAAATGAATGAAGACATTTAAAAAACGAAATAACTTCAAACTTCAATTGAACAACTAAGAGTGACACGCTTCACAAAGACAGGATTACAAAAAGTCTGTACCTGCAAAGGAATCATTCTATGGAGCTTCAGTGCCCCCTTCTGGTGGACTTTGGCAAAACAACTACCACAGTAATCTTCCCCACATTCGAGGCATACCTTGAATAAAAAAAAAATAGTAATAGCAAAAATGGATTCATGATACATAATTACTGTTGAAAATTTTTTCCTTGTTCATATTTTCCAAAATGTTAAAAACAAAAATTAATATAAAATTAGATATTAGTATGTTCTACTAATTAATGTATACACCATCCACATTAATGAAAAATGTTTAATTATGACCAAAAGATTATTTTAAATGAATTCAAATCAAAGTCCATTGGCTAGCTTTCCATAGTCAAATATTAAATACAATTTGCTTGCTTCTACTCACCAGTAAAGCATTTTTGTTCTCACACTGTCCACATGCCTTCCCCTTTACTTTATGTTTTTCAGGAATTGCAGCATTTGCCATTTTATGTATAAATGGTTGTTTTACTGGCTCTGGAAAAATAAAATAAACAGCAATAAAAATCAATATAAGAAGTTAAGCATGTATTCTGACTCATGGGATTGAGTATTTTGGTTCCACATAATTTGATATATTAATTTCTGCAGTACAATTCTTTACATGAACTTAAGAAAAACTATCATGCAGCACATAGGACAATAAAATTCAGTACAGATATTAATTTTAATTTCAGGCTTCTTAGTGGTAACTATCAAAAATAAACTATAAACAGTGTGGTTCTTATTTTCTTAAACTACAAAAAGTATCTTCCAAACTGTTTAACAACCTTTAAGGAATACAAAATATTAACATACTTCATTTTACTTGGTGAATACAAACATCACTTTACCATGAATCTGCTCTTTGAGTATCTTCAACTTCACTTTTCCTGAAGAAGCCTATACAGAAACATTAAATTGGATATGCATAAATATACATAGAAAAGTAAAATAACTATCAATATAAATACAAAATATATCCACTAAAGTATGCATTTTAACATGCTAAATCAATGACAAAATATATGTTTGAATGTTTTTTTAAAATAAGTTTTCATTTTAAAAGATACAGATAAACAAAGTTTGTTATAGTTATGATTCCTCTGACAAAAAAAAATGAATTTTACCAGATTTTCATAAAAAAAACATGGTCGTTTATCCCAACCATCCCAGTAATAGCAAGACTTTTCATTAATTTATATAGATTTGGCTTTCTAGCCCCTGCACTGTAATCTGTTCTCTCTCAGACACAAATCTAGGGTGTTAAAACAGGGATTGAACTATAAATTGAGTTTTTAATGGGACTCTCCTGTTATCATCCAATGTATTTGTGTAACAAAGACAGGATATTATTCTAACCTGCAGAAAGCCCTTGAATTCCCTGATGCTTCAGACAGGTACAAGAGGTTTGCCTGCATAATCCAACTGGATAATCAAGGCTAGTAGTGGGAAAAGTATAGTGTAGTATAGATTTTAAGTGTTTTTATTATTTTAGTTATTATGTTCATGTAATATTTAAGATAGGTAAAAATCGTCATTTTAGCTTTTTGCCATGCTATACTATCATTTTTAGCTATAGCATATATTCTAAAAATACATCTATAAACTATAGCCCATTGCATAGTTTCCCATATTTGGGGTACATGCAGAATCTGTCTATCGGTTAACTTCACAACTGACAGACAAAGCCAATTGTGAAACTTCAGATGTTAATCCATGTGCATTTTCCTGGCCAAATTGCACAGCGCTGTCTTTCCCCTGCCCTTCTTCCCCACAGAGAAAGTCACATAGTGGATCAGATTGAGGTCTGGAGTAATAAAAATGGAGGAAATGTAATAGTACAAATGCAAGGTCATACACATAGGGGCAAACAGCAAGAATGTCTTCTATAAACAGCAAGCTCATCAATTGAAAATGACAGAGCAGGAAAACAAACTGAGGGTATTAGTCGCAGGATGACATAAGCCACCAATATGATACGGTTGTGAAAAAGGCAAATGCAATTGTAGAACACATCAGGCAAGGTATTTCCAGTAAAGACAGGAAAGTATAAATGCCATTGTACACAGCAACTCTTCTGGAGTTGTGTGTACAATTCCATGTACAAAACGCATGTTTAGCAAAGATAAATTCAAACTGGAATATATATAGAGAGAGAGAAGTCTCAGAGGGCAAGTCGTGTTAGTCTGTAACTTTTAAAAAACAATGAGTAGAAAATGTTTTATATATATATAAATGGGGTTGTCTGCAGATGACACTCATCTGAGGAAGTGGGTTTTGCCCTCATGATTCTCTCTCACACTACAGATATAGAGAAGGGATACTGGGACAACCAGGGGAATATAGAGCCTAATTTATGAGGAGACTAAGAGATGTTGGCTTGTTAATCCTAGCAAAACGGAAGCTGAAAGGGATACAACTGCTCTATATAAACATGGGGAGGAGGACACAGTGAACACCAGAAACAGAGAACAGCTATTAATGTTGCAGGCCAACATATGCAGGTATAAACTGGCCATGAATACATTTAGGCTGGAAATGAAAAGACTGTTTCTGATCATCAGAGGTGCAAGGTTCTAAAATAGTTTTTCAACAAGTAGTGGGCCAAACAACGTAACTAGTTTTAAAACAAACTTGATAAGGTTTATGAATAGGCTTTAAACAATGGGGTTGTCTGCAGTAGCCTGGGATTGGACTTAATGGCGCAGGAGGTCCCTTCCAGTCTTACGTTCTTGTGTAAGCAGGGCTGGTGACAAGTTTGGCCCAAGCCCATCACTTCGTATGTATCTCTGAGTAAATCAATTTTAATCTCAGGAATTAGGAAGCCTATCTATTTCTAAGCTGAACACAGACCATTTAGACAGAGAATATCCATTTAGGACTCTTCATAATAGTTGAGACTGTAAGGCTATGTCTAGACTACAAGCCACTTTCGAAAAACAGCATCTAGACCGCAACCACTTCTTCTGAAAAAGGGAGCCGCTTTTTCAAAAGAGAGCACCCAAGTAGTCTGGATGCTCTCTTTCAAAAAAGCACTGTTTGCATTTCATTCGAAAGAACGTGGCGGCAGTCTAGACGCAGGGGAAGTTTTTTTTAAAAAAAGGCCACTTTTCTTCCAAAAAACCCTGTAGTTTAGACACACCCTGAGCGAAAAAACTCATTCTGGTGGATTCTGCTATCGTATCTAATATTTTTAGCAGAGATCATAAACATTGTTTGACCCAGTAGTTAGCTCTTGAATCACACAGAGCACAAGCATATATTATTTAGTAGCTCAAGACCCAAATCCTTAGGGAACAAAAGCAATCTATTTTCTTAGAGGTGTGATATTCACGAACATATACTTTTATAGGTGGCACTACAGGCTGAACCTCTCTAGTCCAGCACCCTTGGGACCTGACTGGTGCCAAACAAGAAAGTTTCCCAGACCACGGAAGCATATTCTAGCAGCATTACCAATATTCCCACTGCTTACTGGGTTCTTAGAAGACATTTGGGGTAAATTAGAGCTAACAACAGCACTGAGAGCCAGGACTGGTGGCTGTAAACAAACTTTATCTGACTGCAGGAACCTTGGCTACACCCATGATAAGTGGACATCCGGCTTAAATCATGCCATACCAAGGATGTTGCTGAAACAGACAGTGCCATACTGGAGAGGTTCAACCTGTAGTAGCACTGGCTACAATTAAGGTTCCCAACACTTTCCATTATAAAGATCATGGTTTCAACTGCTTATCAGTTTGCCAAACTTAAATTGTTGTGACTGAAATTTGCCAAGCAGACTTAATATTTTTGGAAAGTTTCATCAAGAACATTTCTATGAAGGAGAAATACATCATTTCGCATACGTTAAAACAAAATGTTCAACCATTTTGTTTAAGAGCTTTAGCATCCTGCATGCTTTGGAGAAGAGACTTGAAATTTGGCATGGGTATTGCCTTTACTACCAGGCAGTGTTCCCTGTATACAGGCAGTCCCCGGGTTACGTACAAGATAGGGACTGTAGGTTTGTTCTTAAGTTGAATCTGTATGTAAGTCGGAACTGGCGTCCAGATTCAGACACTGCTGAAACTGACCGCCAGTTCTGACTTACATACAGAATCAACTTAAGAACCCCAGGCGTCCCCAAGTCAGCTGCTGCTGAAACTGATCAGCAGCTGATTCCAGGAAGCCCGGGGCAGAGCAACTCTGCCTGGGGCTTCCTGTAGTCAGCGCTGGTCAGTT